GGGGAAGAAGCCCAAGGGATCAGATGGGAGGCCGAAAGGCCAGTCGGGACCGAGCCGCTGCAGGAGGTGCGGCAGGCCGCACGAGGGGCGTGCAGGATGGGATCATCAGGCTGCTACAAGTGCGGCAAGTTTGGGCATATCAGCAGGGATTGCACTGCTCCTGCGCCAGTTATTCAGACATCGGAGTTGCTGTGTTTCCACTGCAACCAGAGGGGCCACAAGAAGGCCAATTGCCCTATGTTGACAGTTTCAGCGCCAGTGAAGGCGCCAGCTCCAGCGACCCTGCGGATCACGGATGGCCGGCAGGGCAAGGTAGAGGCTCCAGTGGTGAGGAGTCGGGCATTTCAGTTGACTGCCGAGGAGGCACGCGCCGCGCCCGATGTGGTGACGGGTATGATTCCTTCCTTCTATCTTTTATTTTACGTGGTTATGATATTGATATGTGCTCCGTATGTATACATGTGTATTAGGATCGTTCCATGTGAACGGCATCCCGGTTCAGGTATTGTTCGACTCGGGTGCATCCCGATCGTTCGTTTCTTTTGCACTTAGCAAGAGGTTTCATGAGACTTCAGGCGAGTTAGATTGCCCGTTAGAGGTAGAGATTGCTGACGATCGATCGGTGCGAGCATCGATGGTGTTTCGAGATTGTGTTCTGCGACTGTTTGAGGAGCGTTACCTGGTAGACTTGGTTCCCATTCCATTGCGTGGGAACAAGGTGATTATTGGTATGGATTGGTTGAGCCCTAATGGGGCAGTGATAGATTGCGCACAGCAGCTAGTGCGAGTCAGGACCCCAAGCGGGGGAGAGTTAGTGATTCATGGAGAGCGGCCGCAGTGTGGACCCACTGTATGTTCAGCAGCAAGGGCTAGGCGCTACCTTCAGCAGGGATGCGCGGGTTATGTCGCATATGTGATGGATACCCGGGAGGCGGGTAAGGCGACCGTGAACGAGGTCCCGGTGGTTCGAGATTTTGCTGATGTTTTCCTGGAGGAACTACCTGGGTACCTCCGGAGTGACAGGTGGAGTTCAGGATTGACCTCATTCCCGGTACGGCTCCGATAGCCAAAGCACCATATCGGTTGGCCCCTCCGAGATGCAGGAGTTGTCTACGCAGCTGCAGGAGCTGCTGGACAAGGGATTTATTCGGGCCGAGCAGTTCACCTGGGGAGCCCCGATTTTGTTTGTGAGGAAGAAGGACGGGTCGCACCGGATGTGTAATAGATATCGGGCTGAACAAGGTACGGTGAAGAACCGATACCCGCTTCCGAGGATTGACGACCTATTTGACCAGCTTCAGGGAGCATCTTGGTTCTCCAAGATTGATTTGCGTTCAGGGTATCATCAGATGAGGGTCAGGGAGGAGGATATGCAGAAGACTGCGTTTCGGACGCGCTATGGTCATTACGAGTTCGTGGTGATGCCATTTGGGCTCACCAATGCTCCTGCCGCGTTCATGGACCTCATGAACCGCATGTGTAGACCGATGCTGGATCGGTCTGTGATAGTCTTTATCGATGATATCTTGGTCTATTCCAAGACTCGGGAGGAACACGAGGAGCATCTGAGAGAGGTATTGGAGACCCTGAGGAGGGAGAGCTTGTATGCCAAGTTCTCCAAGTGCGAGTTTTGGTTGCGCGAGGTGCAATTTCTTGGACACCTCGTCAACCAGAACGGGATTCTGGTTGATCCGGCCAAGGTCGAGGCCGTGATGAGATGGGAGGTCCCGAAGTCTCCATCCGAGATTCGGAGCTTCCTGGGATTGGCGGGCTACTATCGGAGATTTATCCAGGATTTCTCCAAGATAGCCGTACCCCTGACTCGACTGACGAAGAAAGCCATGGTCTTTCGGTGGGGACGAGCAGCAGGCTGCGTTTGAGATGCTGAGGCAGAAATTGTGTGAGGCACCGATCTTAGCCCTGCTGAGGACGTGGAGGATTTTGTGGTTTACTGTGATGCGTCCATTTCAGGGTTGGGCGCAGTTCTGATGCAGAGGGGGCATGTCATTGCCTACGCTTCGCGGCAGCTCAAGCCTCACGAGGCAATTACCCGACGCACGATTTGGAGTTGGGGGCGGTGGTCTTTGCCCTCAAGATTTGGCGGCATTACCTCTACGGGGTTCGGTGTACCATCTACACGGACCACAAGAGTTTGAGGTACCTCATGGACCAGCCGAATCTGAATATGAGGCAGCGGCGGTGGTTGGACGTGGTGAAGAATTATGATTGCGAGATCCTTTACCACCCGGGGAAGGCCAATGTGGTGGCCGATGCGCTTAGCCGCAAGACCGGTGCCGGATCAGGGACGTCTGTTTGAGGATGACTGTGTGACTCCCCTGTTGGAGCAGATTCGGGAGGCTCAACAGGAGGCTATCAAGGAGGAGCATCGGAAGAGCGAGCGTGTGGTGGGTCAGGTTTCCTCCTTTGATTATGATGGCAAGAGGACTTTTGACATTGCACCGTAGGGTGTGGGTGCCGTATCACGGTGGCGTGCGCCAGACTTTGATGGAGGAGGCGCACAAGTCCCGATTTTCTATTCATCCCGGGGCGACGAAGATGTATAGGGATCTTCGTCCGGATTATGGTGGCCTTGCATGAAGCGGGATGTGGCATGGTACGTCGAGCGGTGTTGACCTGCAGGAAGGTCAAGGCCGAACATCAGAGGCCGCATGGCAAGATGCAGCCGTTGGACATTCCACTGTGGAAATGGGAAGATATCACGATGGATTTATCACAAAGCTTCCCAGGACCGCACGGGGGAGTGGATTCGATTTGGGTCATCGTGGATAGATTTGACCAGAGTGCTCACTTTATTCCGATTCAGGAGAGCATATCGGCCGAAAAATTGGCCGACATCTATATCAGGGAGATTGTGGCACGGCATGGGTGCCAGTATCGGTGATCTCGGACAGGGATGTGCGTTTTACTTCCAGATTCTGG